AACAGATATAACTACAACAATCCTTTCTTAGAAGTCGTTGGGCTGTCATAGAGGATATAATGCAAGGAGGGTTGGAAACTTCAGTCCCTTCAAAGACAAACTCGGGTTGGTTTGGTAACCTGAGGGAGACCTTTTGGGCTTTACAATCAATAGAGGCGTGGTTGGTAGCCAGCTAATCCATACCTAAAATCACATCAAAGTTTCCAATGCGGAGGGGAGTCAATTCTACATATAAGGTTTTGCGTTTTAAGGATATAGTACATGATCAAAAGGAAAAGACACAGACAATATATATCCTAATGGTTCGGGTGTTGATGCCAACTTAGCAGCAAAGTGTGGTGTAACAAAAGAATAAGTTAACCTAGAGTCAACGAGGACATGAGCTAAATGACCACAGACTGAAAATGTACCTAACACAACGTTTTCGGTAACTTCTGGTTTTCCAAGTACCAAGGCGAAAGCCCATCCTTGGCGTTTTTGGTCCTTCCTCTCTCCTCCAGGTCCTGTGGGTTTTTTGACTGGGTCAGAGGGGTTGGCTGTAGGATTAGTCAGCTTTGGACAATCCCTCAGCAAATAGCTAACTTGACCGCATTTAAAACATGCTCCTGTGTCTCGATGGCATTGTCCCCAATGAGCATTTCCACAAGTGGGACAAATTGGAATAGTGCCACTTCGGGGGTTGGTAGGGCCTTGATGGCCTGAATTGGTTGTGCCCGTATTCACATTTTTAGAAAGCGCAGCACCGGATCTTCTGTTGTCTCTTTCCCAAAATCGCTTCTTTTGGCTTGGTTCCTTGGAACGTGAGGCTTTAATCCCTTTTCTGCAATATACGCTCGGTTTACCACTTCTGCATAGGTTGGCAGTTTTAAGACCTCGAGCCTATCTTTAATTTCAGCATCCAATCCTGCTTCGAATTTTCTTACTTTTCGAGTTTTAGTGGAGATAACGTATGTTGCAAACCGAGCAAGTTAAGTGAACTTGCTCTCGTATTCGGCCACTGTCATGGTTCCTTGCTTTAGATGTATGAATTCTGATACCTTCTGTTCCCGCAATGAATCTGGGAAGTATTTTTCGTAGAATACTTCCAAGAATCTTGTCCAAGTCGCAATTTCTTCTTTCTCCAGAATGAGAAGTCACCATTCCTGTGCATTGTCTTTGAAAGTGAAAGTGGCGAAAGTTACCTTCTATCTTTTGGTGCAGGGTAGGGCGCGAAAAATATTTTCCATGTCTTTAACCCAAGCGTTTGCTACCATTGGGTCTGGGCCACTGATAAATGTGGTGGGTTTCAGATCCTGGAACTGTTTTATGGTAATCGGCTCCTCTCGCCGTTCCGGCATCCCATTGTTGATGTTAGTCAGCAAGGCTTGCAAAAAGCTAGTAACCGCTCTATCCATTGATTCAATGCCACTGACTGATGACTCTTTTCCGTTACCATTATTGGCCATTCTACAAAGTAATAAACGAAACATTACATTTACAATGCAGCATATATATAAGCATGTGTAACGCAATCTATATCTATATAAAATGCCAACTTTACATTTTTTACAATTAATATTACATCTTTGTTTCAAAAATCAGAATATGTTAGTGTTTCATTCCTGTGGTAAACAAAAACAAAAAGACAACAAAAAGGGATCAGAACACATCGTCATGGTTCCTTGCTTTAGATGTATGAATTCTGATACCTTCTGTTCCCGCAATGAATCTGGGAAGTATTTTTCGTAGAATACTTCCAAGAATCTTGTCCAAGTCGCAATTTCTTCTTTCTCCAGAATGAGAAGTCACCATTCCTGTGCATTGTCTTTGAAAGTGAAAGTGGCGAAAGTTACCTTCTATCTTTTGGTGCAGGGTAGGGCGCGAAAAATATTTTCCATGTCTTTAACCCAAGCATCTGCTACCATTGGGTCTGGGCCGCCGATAAATGTGGTGGGTTTCAGATCCTGGAACTGTTTTATGGTAATCGGCTCTTCTCGCCGTTCCGACATCCCATTGTTGATGTTAGTCAGCAAGGCTTGCAAAAAGCTAGTAACCGCTCTATCCATTGATTCAATGCCACTGACTGATGACTCGTTTCCGTTACCATTATTAGCCATTCTACAAAGTAATAAACGAAACATTACATTTACAATGCAGCATATATATAAGCATGTGTAGCGCAATCTATATCTATACAAAATGCCAACTTTACATTTTTTACAATTAATATTACATCTTTGTTTCAAAAGTCAGAATATGTTAGTGTTTCATTCCTGTGGTAAACAAAAACAAAAAGACAACAAAAAGGGATCAGAACACATTATGGTCAGCATACGAAAAGGTTTTCTTCTACTAAATCTAGAGTGGTGGGTCAAATGAGCCAAACAACCATGGGAAATAGTGTTGCATAAAAAGCTCAAATTTCCATCCTAACTGGACTACACCAAAACACATCCATGCTACCTGGACTATGAAAATAGGGACGGACTGTATGTATCTCAAAAATGCTTGATCGACAATCCAGCCGGGTGTCTCGACATATGACAAGTCATTATTAAAGTCAACATTTTGAATATTAATTATCTCTAACGGGTTAAGGATAGTGGTGAAAATATAGTACTTGGGGTACACGTTCCTCCTTCTGGCCACAAAATTTGGGGGTAGAGGGCCTATGATATAGTACAGGCGATCATGTCCCGGGGCAACGCCAAGGACATGAGTGGGTCCTAGAAAACGTCCGCGTGTATAGGCACGGCTTTGCCTCCATAGTAAATGTGGACCATCGGTAGAATCAGCATGTATATAGATTGGCCGATCCATCAATTGGGCAAGGCCTGGATGCAGTCCTCTAATTATATTCTCTAAATCTCCCCAACCCTCAAGTGAGGCGGGGGTGGGGTGCTCGGCTAAAATCACATCTAAATTAATGGCCCGAGCTCATCCCAAGATGCATCATCAAGGTTAATCTCTGACATTCCTACATCACCATAATAAATATGAGATTTTACACAAAAAGACTAACGTTGCAGGTAAATATTTATTATTTTTTTATTTTATTTTATTATGTTTATTTAGCTATATAATTTTATTTATAGATTTATTTATAACTTTTCGAACTTCCTAATCAAATTAAAATAGCATTTTTTTTTAACCATTGCTCTGATACCACCTTTGTCACTACCCAACCCCAGGGGCTTAGGGTTGGAATCGCAACTTACTAACTTATTTTATTCGTATCAGATTAAACTGCACAAAGGGAAATAAAAATAATTAAACAAGAAATTACTTCATTTTACTATTTTAATAAGAGAAAATACACCTAGAGGGCTTTTATTATTTTATTATTCAGTGACCGTCCCGAGTAGAAACAAAAGAGAGCAAAAAAATATTTAAAAAAAAAAAGAAAAGAAAAACAAAATAGTGGTTCAACATCAATCCTCGTGCGGGTTCCATTACGTGAGGTTAAGGGCTTCCCCTACATCTTGTCACCTGAAAGGGTAACAGCTATAAGCACACAGCAGAGTGAGAAATATTATGCTAAGAGTATAGGGAATACAAAATAATCATGGATGGTTAGTTAGGCCAAAACATTTACATAACTCAATTTGGTGAATAAATCATTTAAGTGGCAGAAACTGAAATACAGAAATTATATAAATAAATAACCATAACTACGGTACAGAATAGAACAGAACAGAACAGATGTCACAGAAGTGACAGTCAGCACAGAGGTCAATGAATCCATGACAAACAGAGGACCACAAAGTGGCCAAACAGAGACCAATGGTTAGTCCCCCAAGGTGTGGGATTCCCGTGGTGGTACTTAAAAACATAATTATTTATAGGGTCATTGTCAAATATTCTTTAAAATTTAAACTAACATATCCATGGGTTTCATTTTAACAAATAGAGTTCAGAAATTAATGCACGTAACTGAAATATTAATATAATTTATAAAAAGTAACTTGTATTAATATAACTCATAAAATATAACTTGTATAAAATAAATTATGGTAAGTCAAAACAAACGTAAAATATATTATGCTATCTCAAGGTATAATATAACTCACCTTAATATTGACCCTTAGCCTTACTCCACTATCGCAACCTTCCTACTATAAGTTCCTACTTCCAGCAACTTACGTGTCTCTCCCTCTCTCTATTTTTTTCCTTTTCTTTCCACAGAGTTTGATTAACTCATTCCTATTTATAGGGAGGTAAAAGCCTCATGAGTCTAACACGTGGCAGCTCAAATCCCTTCCTAGATTTGATCATAAATCACATGGATTTATACTTATCTTAATAAATATTTAAGATAATTACACTTTGGCTCAATTTTCTAATATAACTATATAAATAAATTAATTCCTAATTAAATTACACTCTATCGTATACCATCAAAAAATTAATTATTTATTTTACTACCACACCCGTTATTATTATTATTATTATTATTATTTACTCTTACTTTTATATTTATTTATTTATTATCTTTAACTTTAATTTGGCTCAACTAGTATTATAATTTCATATTTTTGTTAATTTGGCCCCAAATAATAACCCCTAATTAATCCCATATTTGATAATCTAATGCCAAATTAGATTATGTATTTATTATTATTTATTTAATAATATATTATCACATACACTCACAATTATATATAACTATAAATATTTATGTGATATTTAATTAAACGTTCAGGGTGTCACAGCTGCTACAGGAGAATGGGCATGCACTCCTAGCTCAAGGGTAATGTCTCACACTGATGAGACTCCGGAGGAATTTCATACCCCACATGATGCTAAATTTCATGATAATGCTGATTTGGAAGTGGTTTATCCTTCCGAGTTAAACAAAAAATGGTCGTCAAACACTGATGGTTCATCAACCAAGAGCATGACAAAGAAGAAATTTACTAGTGCAGCTCTACTTAACAAGACACTTGATCGTATAGTTAATGTGGTTGAGTCATCTTTAGCAAATTCAACACAGACCTCATCAAAATATCCTTTAATTGCAGAATGTTTTGCGAAGTTGGAAAGCATCCCTGGTGTGTCCTCGGATGATGAGCTGTATGTATGGGCTGCCAGATTGTTCTTACGAGACAAGCATCGGGAGTGCTTCCTGACTCTTTCTACGAATAAAGTTCGGTTGAGGGTTCTAAAGTTGGAGATTGAGATGGAGAAGACCACCATAGGTTATCATGGCTAATTGTTTTTGAGATGGACTATTGTATTGAACTCATTATTTTTTTTCTTTTATTAATATTTTGTTGGACTTTGATTAATATTGACTATGTTGGACTTTTATTATTAATATTTGGGTAGGTGGCATTTTCTCAGTTAAATGGTAGGTGAATGGTTGACTTGAATGTTAGTTGAATGGTTAAATGTTAGTTAAATGGTTGAATGGTTGATTTCAATTATGAATATGAATGGTAGGTGAATGGTAAAGACTTTTAAATATATATGTAGATGTTTTCCAGCTGGTGTTATTTTAAGAAAAATTGAATTGCCTTATGCTTGTTGTGCTGTATTTATTTTTTGTGCTGAATGTCTATCTGTTGCTATGTTGAATTTCCATTTGTTGTTGTTGTTGTGCTGAATTTGGAGGTCATTCTGGTTCCACCATTCAATCTGTTGCTGCTGTATTGTTGTGTTCATTGAAGGAAAAATTTTAGGAAGTTAAATTTGCATGTTGTTGTTGGTTCTAATTTATACATTGCTGTGTTTTAATTTTCTGTTGCTAACAAGTCTCATAATCATCTTCATAATGATCATTTTTCTTGTTGTTTTTAAAAAAAGAGTGAGGTCAGATTTTCATTAGTGGATTATGTGTGGTAAACAAACAACAAATGTGAGAAAGTATTTTTAGAAAAAATGCTTCATGCATGATGAATCTTTAAAAAATATACATTTATTTTTTAAGAAATACTTTAAAAAGTTTTTTTTTTTTTGGCAGAAAATAAAATGATGTGAAACAATAGGTAGGGGTGATTAAACTTATCAGTGTTTTTATTTTCGAAAACAAAAAGAAAACATCAAAAATAAAGATGATAGGAGTTAATTCATAATCACAATTCTTCTCTCTCTTTATTAATTTGATGGGTGGAATGGAGTATCTTCAGATGACCTTTTTAAGTTAATTATAAATTGGATGGTGTGTATCAAAACTTAGTGAGGCCTTTTGTGGTTCCACATTTGGATAATAAAGAAAAAAAACCTAATTTTCCATTTATACATTTTGAGCCAAATTGAACGAAATAACTTAATTAAAATTGGAGTAAAATTGTATGAATTAAATTGTTAAAATTGAAAATGAAATTTGAGTTAAACTATAAAAATAAAAGTTTAATTTATTCTTTAAAAATTTGATGTTTCTTAATTTTGCGTGAAGTCATGATAATTTATAATGCTTAATTTGGACTAAAAGTAACGAAGCTTTTAAATGGGTAGGCATTTTGGAGATGAGTAACAGTGATGACGAATGGAATAATGATCACCATGATGAAGTTACTGAAGATGAAGACAGCACATTGCAAACCTAACAACATAATGATATGCTCTTAGCTACGGCGACAACAGTTGCAGTGACATATGCGACAAATTATTTGATAAAAGAACCATGTAAGACATTTAGTTCAATAGGGGAAAGTGGATGGTAGAATTACAAGAAAGGAATCGGACAAGAATATTTGAAAATTTTTGAATGAAAAGAGAGGTATTTTATCAATTGTGTGATTTGTTACAGACAAAGTATGGCCTTGAAACTGGACGAAAAGTCTTGGTTCAGGAGAAGGTTGTAATATTTTTGTATATTGTTGGCGGTGACATTCGAAACAGAAATGCCCAAGAAAGATTTCAACATTCCGGCGAGACTATTTCAAAATACTTCAAGAAGGTGTTAAAAGCTGTTACAATGATGTCTATTGATTGGGTAAGGCCCCAATCGAGAAATGGTGTGCATCCATATATTCGAAGCAAGCGCAAATATTAACCTCATTTCAAGGTAAAAAAATAATTACAAGTGGAACTTGGGTGTTACATATAATAATGTTGGTTGGATATTTCTAATAATCTGTGACTAAAAATAATTTTATGAACTATTTTGTAATAGGATTGTATTAGAGCAATTGACGGAACACACATCAAAGCATATATATCTCCAGATAAGCAACCTCGTTTAATAGGTAGAAAGGGGTATGCAACTCAAAACATAATGGCCACATATGACTTTGATATGTGTTTCACATTTTGCTTACCTGGATGTGACGGAAGTGCACACGATACTCGGATCTTCTTGGATACAATTAGGAATCCTAGTTATAATTTTCCAAAACCACAAGGAGGTAACTGTTTTATATTTGATTGCTACAGTAGATTCACACTCACATCTCTATATTTATTTTTACATTTATAATTGCTTATTTTAATTTCATTTTGGAATTTTAAAATAGATGTGTCTTACTTGGTGGATATTGGATATCCAAACATGAAAGGATATCTTGTACCTTACAAAAGAGAGAGATACCATCTAGCTCAATTTAAACATGGTCAACCCCCTCAAAATGCACAAGAAAAATTCAACCAAGCACATTCATCATTTAGAAGTGTAATAGAAAGAACGTTTGGGGTTTGGAAAGCAAGATGCCCGATGATAAAGGATATCCCACCAAACTACAACTGGGCGACCCAAGTCAAACTTGTTTGTGCAACAATGGCAATTCATAATTTCATCCGACGAAGTGAGTTCTGCGACATTGCATTTGACTCTTATAATAGATTCACAGATTATGTGTCTAATGAAGAGGAAGGATCTTCGTCTCAACAAACACGCCATAGAAATAATGTTGACTGCGATGACAACGAGATAGAAGTAAGGAGACATAATATTTGTATGTCAATTTGCAGACGAAATTAGAAGATCTTCAAATATATAAGAAGTTTTTTTTATTGCCTTAATAATAATTTATTATATTTTTATTGCAATGACATTTTTTTGTTTCCTTGTCAACTCAATATTATTAAAAAAAAATTAAAAATAAAAAAATTTGAGGTAATGAAATGTACCAAATTAGGTACTAATTAATCAACTTCCATTAATGAAATAACTTTTCAAAATTTAAAGAGAAGAAAATGACAAAATTACAAATTTTCTGTTCATAAGGGCAAAAATGATAATCACAGAGCAAAAAACTATTTTACAACTTATTTACCAAACACTACTCTGCAGCTTAAATCTATAATCTCACAGTTACACCAAACAAGTTACAAACTTATGCTCATAACTATAAGTTATAATCTGTTAAATTATAATTTATAATCACTTTTCTGTATTTTTACCAAACGGGGCCATTGTGGATGATGAATTTCCACTTCAAATGTTATGGAAAGTTCAACAGAGACCGACATTCAAATTTAAGGAAATTTTTTTTTTTTTTTTGGTTAGAAACTATTTGGCATAAATTATTAGAGATTGTTTGAGGTGCATTAAAAAAGTATATTTATTTATCTTTTTATTTATTTTAGATGATATTATCTTTTTATTTTTTTTTTGTATATCTTTTCGTAAAAAATTAAAAAGTACATTTATTTGGATCATCTCTTAAGTGCAATTATTTAAATAAGTACATTTATTTACGTTATATCATTTTTCTACTTTTCTGTATATAATTTTTTTTTTTTTTTTATAAAAAGATTTTGAACCATACACTACACACATGTTGTTGCCAATAATGTACTACGTACGATAGCTACAAGGGAAATTCCTTATGCCTCTGGTTTGAATCAAATTAGTGATAAATGTCGGAAGATTGGACTTGTCCTTTCTCTAAGCTACTTCCAATAAGTGTAGGAATTCAAAAATTAGTCACAAAATGTATATTGGAGGACAAATTGTATCAGAAGCGGACCCATCAAAAAATTATTTAAAATGTTGTTAATTTATGCATATTCTTGTATTCTTTTAGTTTCTTTATAAACATAGAATTACAGAAAAATACTCAAAACTCTCACTCGACTAAGTTGATATTATGGGTATTTTTATGCAGATCTACTTTTCTCGACAAAAAAATTATCAAAAAATATGTAAATAATGCCTTTTTGTGTGTGTTTAGGATCAAAATATAAGTTATATGTAGCCTATTTTTAAGAGTGAACGGAAGGAGAGATATAAGCTAAAAGAATACTTCCATCCATCCTCGCCTCTGGCAAAAGTGAGAAGCAGGGAGGTGTGATTAGATTAGAAGTTCTTGCATAATAATAGCTTTTATATGTGTATATATATATATATGTACATATTACAATTTTATATAGAGAAGACGTGTCAAAGAAGTCCGAGTTGATTGATTAAATTATTAGACATGCATAAATTCGGCAATGTTTTAAGCAATTATGTCATTATCACATTTTACAGTTTTTAATCATCTTCTCAAATATAAAAATTTTAATCTATTAAAATAGTCAAAAATTAAAATAATCTACTAAAATAACAACTTTTTAATCAAAAAATATGTTAGCTGCATTCTTGAAGTGATTCCTCTGCAATCATAAAATATGCTCCTATTTGTTTTACTCTTTCACACCCATGAATTACAGTTATTCTTTATTGAACATAAAATAAAAAATAATAATAAAAAAAGAAATCGATGTTTCATGTACAACAACTATGAAAGTGAATGATTAGGGGTAGCAAAGACTACATTGTTAACCAGAAAAAGTTTCTCAAATCAAATTTTGTGCAAAAATTCACATAATGGAAAAAAGTCAATTTAATTAACTTAGCCTCTGTTTGGCAAGATGGTTTTCAGGTTTTTTTGGCTATTTTAGCCACAAAAAACAAAATGGGCTATTTTAGCCATAACAAACAAAACATCACATCCAACCTATAATCATTACATTCTTCTGTCACAAAAAAAGTCAAAAAAGCCAAAAAGCCAAAAAGCTCTTCCCAAACCAAGCTTTTTAGCACAGGCTAAAATAGCCAAAAAAGCCAAAAAGCCAACCTACTTCCCAAACCAAGCCTTAGACACCGTTTGGGAAGGTGGGTTGGAAGCTTTTTTAGCTATTTTAGTCATAAAAGATAAAATATATTATTTTGGCCACAACAAACAAAATATCACATTCAACCCATAATGATTACACTCTTCTCTCATAAAAAAAGTCAAAAAAGCCAAAAAGCCCTTCTCAAACCAAACTTTTTAACCCAGGCTAAAATAGTTAAAAAAGTCGAAAAGCCAACCCACTTCCCAAACAACTACCATCTCTCTATTTTTTTACATATTTTTTCAAAAAAAAAAAAATCAATAAACTATTTTTTTTTTTCTACTTCCCAAAATAACCCGTAGTGCAACTTCTTTTTCTTCTTTTTTAAAGAAAATGAAGTGGTTGAACTTGAGTTCCTTTACAACA